ATTTAAATAAAACAATTTTTTAGAATATAACAAATTAAAGAAAATCGTATAGAACATGTTTTTAAATCATAACCTGTGTTCAATGAAAAGTCCAAAACTAAATTTTTAGTCACTTTTAGTACTTTTAAGTTTAGCAGGGAAACAGAAACGAATAAGCAGGGGTTGATCCGCGGTATTAGATAATTGTGTATCTTCGACTCGAAAAACTAAGGATCTTATCCTTAAACACTTATCAAAGGTTTATAGGATGAATTTTGTTTAGAAATTTGTTTTATAAACCTTTGATAACTTGTTATGAATAAGTTTCTAAATGAAATTTAAAAAAATATAAAATAAAAAAATTTTATGGAAATTCGAAATAACAATTTTGTTTAATATTTATGGTATTCAATTTAATTACAATTTAATATTTTACTAAATAATTTTGAAACTTGAAATTTTGTGTCATAAATTTTTTATAAAAAAAAACTTTCTAAATGCAAAATTTTGTTAAAAAAAAAATACGTTTAAAAAGAAATGTTTTAAAGAAGAAAAATGTTTAGAGAATTATTAATTATAAAATTTTATTAAAAAAAAAATTTTTGAAAAAATGATTTCATACTTTTATTAAGAGATTTATATTAAAAGTCAGCTTTAAGTTAAGCTTAAAAGTTATGTTCTTAATGTGGGTTTAGCAAAAACAAATATGGTTTTGAAAACGTTAGAAAGAAACTGAAGCTTTGATAGGAAAAAAAAGTACCTTTTAAAATAAAAGTACGTTATTGGTTTAACTAAAGGTACCTTATTTTTAAGCATTACATTAACTATTTGTGCGAGACTTTTACAGCTGCAATAATACATTTTTCTTGTATGTTTAGAGCGTAAACATTAAGTTACTACTTTATTATTTAAAAAAAATATATATAAAAAATTTGAATTAAAAAAAGTTTTTATTACTAAATGTTGTGACTTTTTAAACGATTTATTTAAAATCTAATTAAATTTTCTCATTGTCCCTGGCATTAACAAGCTAGTGTTAGTTTAAACCTGGAGGAGTGGAGGTTTCACTCTTATCTATAACTATTAAAGGTTTATAACTTGTTATAATTTCAAATAAATTGTTTTATAAAGTCACAAAAACATAAGCAAAAGTAAGAAATTTGAAAGAAATTTGTTATAAATTTAAATATAATAAAAAAAGAACTTTCTCTACTGGTTATTTAATTAAAAGTTAAAATAAATTTATAGGGTAGTTAATAATAAGACAATTGTTTAAATTTATTAATTTTTTTTTTGCTGCTAGTTTTAACAAAACACTTGCACAAAAAAGGCAGCGATTTGTAATGCTGCTTTTTTGTGAGGTTTTTGTGTGCTTTTTGACGTAGTTGTTGTTTTTGTTTTAAATTATGTTTTTTCATTTCATTAAACTTATGTTTTAGGGGAGATTGTTTGTTTTATTTTTTATTATTATAAACTTTTTTTATAATTTTCTTAAAAGTTTTCGGTTATTTTATTGAATTATTTTTGTTTAATTAGTTGAAATTTGTTTGTATGAAAGGGGTTTATAGGGGGAGGGGTTTGGAGTAGTTGTTTTCTTTTTTTAATTCAATTTTACATTAAATGTATGTGTGTTAAATTTTTATGTTTTTCTTTTCATTTATTTATATAATTTTTTGTTTTTTTTTTTATATTAAATTAGTTATACATTTACAAATAAATGTTGTTGTTTTTATTTTTGGGTTGTGTATGCGTGTTTTGTTTCTATTTTTTTTTTGTTTGTTTTTAATTAAATTTTATATAAATATATATTTTATTATAATTATTTTATAAATTATAATTAGTCATCATAGTAGTACCACCCATAAAGATCTTCATAAAAATGTGGTTTTTATAAAAAAAAAAAAATAATTTTTTTATTTTCTTTTTTTTTAAGGGATTTTTATGTAAATCTTTTTCGTAAGATGTTTTGTTTTGTTGTTTTTGTTTTCAAACCCCTTAATTAGTTTTTTTATTTTACACTTTAATTATTTTATTTTTTTTAAATATTTTTTTTTTTTTTTATATAATTTGTTATAAAGTATATAATTTGTTTGTTATAATTAGCGTTATAAAATGGTTGGTTTTTTTTTATTTATTTTTAATTATTTATTAATTAGTATATTTTTTTTTCCATTTTTTATAAATATTTTTTTTCGTTTTGTGGTATTTTTTGTTTTTTAAGAAATTTTGTATTATATTTGTTTTATTTTATTTTTTGGTTTTTTCTTATTTATTTCTTAATAATTTTCTTTTGACTTATTTTCTTTTTTTTTGTGTATGTGTGTGTGTGTTTATAAGGAATTTATTCATAATTAATAAAATCACAAAATTAGTTCTTTTGTTGCCTAAAACCTGTTTAGACCAAGTTATATTCCTTAAGATTTGATTGGAGAATCGTATCCTTAACAGCTGCAAACACAAATCTTATATTTTCCGTATCTAGTTTGGGGGGAAATAAAAAAAGAAAAAGGAATTTAATATTAAAAGTTGTCACAAAAAATATTTATTATATTAAACAATTTTTAAATTTATCAAAGGTTTATACAACAAATTTTATTACGAACTTTTTGTACTTTGATAAATTTAATAATTGTTAATGAATAATTTTTAAAATAACATCATTCACACATTAAAACGCTTGAAAAATTATGAAGTAAGACAGTTCCTCCGACTTTAACATCTCTGAAATCAGAATGGCTCCTTTTATAAAAACGATGCGTTTTTAATTATATGTTTCTAGGTTTAATATTAAAAAATCAAAATGTACCAATTGAAAAGGTTCCAAAAAGTATACTCCTATAAATTTTCATTCCATCAGGATCCTATATTTATGATTTTATGTTTCTAGGTTCAATAATTCGCAAAATTAAAAAAAGTTTGAATGACGGCAAAGTACGCGAAACTCGCTTTTACAAATTTCAATGCAAAAGTACCAATTGAAGAATATAAAGTACCAACAAATTCTCTTTTATACATTTTCATTTCATAAGGATCTAATATGTCTGATTATATGTTTCTAGGTTTACTATCATAGAAAATTGGAGGTTTTCCATCTATGTCCATTTTCTTCTTTTAACTCATCTGAGGGGGTTTTAATTTCACTATTTTTTCATCTTTCTCTCTTGTTATGGAGTCTTCTTTCTAAGTAGATTCTTTGTTTATCCTTAAAGGGAAAATTACCTTATGGTATATAACCCTTTTATAGTAAACTTAACTAGGCAGCTATTTGACAAAGAGCCAAATGCATCCGAAAATTAAAGACATTTCCTCTAACGTCTAACCACCTGGGTAGCTATAATTCTCCTTTCGTCGAATGTAATCTTTTTAAACGAGAGTGAATATAGTCGTAACTAAACTGTACCCTTTCGACGAGCTTTCTGTCTCCAACTAACTGACTTCCTCGCTGGAAAAACTTATGTCGAAATGCCTAATCAGTTAGGCAATCAGCTGACTAGGGGTAACTGTTCCTCAAAATTGCTGGGAACAAATCAAGCCTATTGTCTGTTCTGTTCTAAACTGAGACATATCCCACATCGAAGCAAATAGTAGGGCAAGGCCTGGACTCTAAGACGAGCTAGACAAAATCTCCTAACCACTTCATTCTAAATAGTTTTTAACAGGTATTGTAATATGTGACCAAGCTTTGTCATAATGAATTATTAATCTTTCACTTCAAACGTATCAGTTGCATTCGCTATAGTTTCTGGTTAACATGCATTTACATCTACTACTCTCTTGCTAAAAAAATGGGATTACATGATCCACAACATGTTATTACATAATGCATTCATGCTGCATTACATAGGACTATCATTGTACTCCAATAATGTAGACTGCTCTATAGACCAGAAAATAGACTACTCTTTATACTTAACAAGACTAACACTGTACTATTGACTAGACCATTGATGGGCTGGACTGGACTGTAGAAAATACCATAGACAATTGACTTCATAATAGGCTAGACTATAGGCTACTCTATAGACTAAACTATAGGCTACTCTATAAACTAAACTATAGGCTACTCTATAGAATAGACTATGGACTACTCCATAGACTAGACTATAGACTCTATCGACTAGAAAATTGACTATGAACAGTTAGTTAGTTAGTATTTAGTTTGAATGGAAGATGTACATATATACATACATCAAATCCGAAGAAATACACCTAGGCCTCTATTGGGCCTGCTGTGCGCTCCTTAACCAGTGCCTCAGGTGGGAATCGAACCCACCACCTCCGGTCTACCAGACTCGAACACTAACCAGTAACCTACCGGAGGCCACTATGAACAAGACTATAGACAAGACTATATAGAATATTGTCTAAACTATTGACTATACTATTGAATAGACTACAGGGTAGACTATAGACTAAACTGTAAAAGACTAGACTATAGGCTAGACCATTATCTGGACTATGGACAAGACTGTAGAAAACCCTATACATATTATAGACTATTGATTATACTCTTGACTTGATTATAGGCTAGACTATAGACAATAGTCTATATAGTCTTATTCATAGTCTAGTCCACAATCAAGTCTGGTCTATAGAGTAGTATATAGTCTAGTCTATAGAGTAGTATATAGTCTAGTCCATATAGTAGTCTATAGTCTTGTCTACAAAGTAGTCTATAGTCTTGTCTATGGAGAATACCATAGTCTAGTCTATAGAGTAGTCTAGCCTATAGTCTATTCAATAGTCCATAGTCCAGTAAATAGGCTGGTCCATAGTTCAGTCAATGGTCTAGTCTAGAGTATTCCATAGTCTAGTCTATAGAGTAGCCTACAGTTTAGTCTATATATAGAATAGTCTAGTCTATAGACTAGAATATAGATTAGTTTATAGACTAGACTATAGACTACTCTATAGACTAAAGTATAGGCTACTATATAAACTAGACTATGGACTACCCTATAGACTATAGGCTATTTATAGTCTAGTCCATAAACTAGACTACTCTATAGAATAAACTATAGGCTACTCTATAGACTATGGACTACTAAATAGACTAGACTATACACTACCCTATAGACTAGACCATTGACTGAACTATGGACCAGTCCATTTACTGAACTATGGACGAGTCCATTTACTGAACTATAGACTAGACTATTGATTAGACTATAGGCCAGACTACAGGTTAGACTACTTTATAGACTAGATAATAGTCTTCTCCATAGACAAGACTATAGACTACTTTATAGACAAGACTATAGACTACTATATAGACTAGACTAGACTGTGGACTAGACTATAAACAAGACTATATAGACTATTGACTAAATTGTTAACTAGACTATTGACTAGACATAGGCCAGACTATAGGCTAGACTACTCTATAGAATAGACAATGGTCTTTTCCATAGACAAGACTATAGACTACTATATAGACTAGACTACTCTAGACTAGACTATGGACTACTCTAGTCTCTAGTCTGGTCTAGACTATAAACAAGACTATATAGACTATTGACTAAATTATTAATAGACAACTGACTGGACTATAGACTAAACTACACTCAAACCTCGTTTTATGCGATTAATTCGTTCGCAAAAAAGTGCATAATTCAAATTCGCACAAAACGATACACTAGCTCCATACAAAATCCACTAATTGGGTTTTAGATAAAAAGGCGCACATTTTCAACTTATTCCCATAAAAGTCAAACAAAATCGCATATAAAAAATCAAAAAAATTAATTCTTTACTAAAATTATAAAAATAAAGAAAAATAAAGGAAACAAACAACAAAATAATACCAATTCCAAATAATGAAGAAAATATACAACATTTCATAAAATAAAACTTAATATTTCTTCATGTACAAAGGATTTGAACAATACTTTATATATCCGAACCGGAATTGGTAACAAATCAGTAGTTTGTACTTTTGTTGATCAATTTTTTTTGGATGTATGTGGACCAAAATCTTCCTTAAAATCATTTTTGCAAAGAAAAATTTTAGAATTTTGAAACCGCACTAATTCAAATTCGCATATAAACGAGGTTTAAGTGTATATAGATAATACTATAGATTTGACTATGGACTAGACTATAGGCTAGACTATAGAGTAGACTATAGCCATGAAATTAAAGACTAGACTACAGACTAGTTTATTGACAACTATTTGGACTGGTTACAAAACGGAACGAAAAATGTTGTGGGGGTACCGCGGTATTTTCGATATCAAAAAGTACTAATGTACTGAATTTTCCATGCCTGATAGAGGAGCTTAAATTATATTTGAACAGTGAACAAGAATTTTGTCTCAATTTTTTCATTCATTGGGGTTTCTAAACATAAATCTGCCAAAAATTTTTCGATGTTTTGTAACAGTACGGACAGCTAAATCGCTGTCTTTGTCGTCGATAACTTTGCTTCCTTAACATTCTTACGAAGTAGAACAACCAAAAATATCTAGTAGTTAGTAACATAGTTAAATTAAACCGTTGGCGTCTGATTAATTATATTATAAATAATAAAAACACATAAAATTATTTAATAATTTATTTATAAGATTCTACGAAATGATATAGTAAAATTAAAATTTAATTAAAATATAATAATTAATACATAATTTTTTCATTTTTTTTTGTAATGTTATTTTTTTTTTGCATTTTATTCATATTTTTCGTGTTGTTCATAAAAATTCCAATAAGGCTGGCGCAATATATTTATATGCGTTATGTAAGTTTGTAGAAAGGAGTATTAGGAAAGAAATATAAAATTGAACATAAAAACAAACAGCCAATATGTATACTTAACCCAAATTAAATTCTTTAAGAGCATTTTGCATAATTGTATCTTTACGGCGCAAAATACAAGTTTAATATTTTCAGTATCTGTTGAGATATGTCGGGATTTAAAAAGAATAATTAAGAAAGAAAATTAGAATTTATTTGAAAACAAAAGAAGTTATAATAACAAAAGAAATATTGCAAAAGCAAAGTTAACAAAAATCTAAATAAAACTAGCAGAATACACATATGAATAGAATGATGAAAATATTGAAAACAAAAATTGTTTAAAAAATACCTGGTTTTTATTAGCTTCCTGACCAAAACTTGATCACAACTTTGTAGTGAGAATAACGATATCAAAATCTCATACCCATATATATATACAAACACACATACTTGTACTCATAATCATTCATACAATTCTTAAAAATAAAGACATATTTAAGATATTTCTGTACCAGTACTTGATAACCAAATCACTGGTTGATAAGAGAACAATTTTGTTATTACAGAGCTTGATTAACATCTGAAAGAACATTATCCCTTCAACAAAAGCTCTGTAATCTAATTTGTAAAAATTCCTAAACATACCAACTTACCTGTAGCACATGTAAATGAGAATAATGATTTTCTCAGAATCTGGATTTAAATCCACAAACATACGTAAGATAAATTCACGGGCGGCAATGGCATCTCTTTGTGGGCCTAGATAATTTTTCAAAAAATACAAAAAAAGTGTTCAAAATGTTTAAAGCGAATCAAGCAATACTGTTTAGCAATATTTTTCTTATAACTCCATTATTATACATTATATACTAAACTAGCACATACAACTTATGACACAATGTTATGAATTCAAGACGTAGATTACAACCAAAAATTATAATTTGAGCATTTTAAATAATAAGTTTGTGTATTATCGTATACAACCTGTGGCTGTAGTAAAATGAGAATAACATTGACGTTCTGGATCAGGATTTGCTGCTAAATATTTTTTCATATAAATTGTTTTGCAGCGGCATGATCGCATTTAGGACCTTTAAAGGACCATTATAAGTTTTAAATAAAAATTAAAAAACATTTTGTTTTAATAAGATTAAAACAATTAAATCAAATTGAAAAAATTATAACATTTTAATTTATTTTAAAGAGACATAACTTAAATAGATTTAAACTTAAAATAAAGTATCATTCATATCATATCAGTTTGTAGCCTAGTCTGTAGTCTAGTCCGTAGTCTAGTCGGTAGTCTATAGTCTAGTATATATATAGTCTAGTTTATAGTCAAGTCTACAGTCCAGTATTTTGACTTTATGTGAACTAGTCTATAGCCTGGTGTAAATTCTGATCTATATTCTAGCCTATAGTATGTCTATAGTGCAGCATATTATCAAGTCTATAGTGTAGTCTATACCCCAGTATGTAGTCTAGTATTTGTCTAGTCTGTAGTCTAGTATATATAAAGTCTAATTTATATTCAAGTTTATAGTCTAATTTATATTCCAGTTTATAGTCTATGTAGTCTGTAGTATAGTCAATATAAATTGAAAAAAATTATAACATTTTAATTTATTTTAAAGAGACATAACTTAAATATGATTTAAACTTAAAATAAAGTATCATTCATATCATATCAGTTTGTAGCCTAGTCTGTAGTCTAGTCCGTAGTCTAGTCGGTAGTCTATAGTCTAGTATATATATAGTCTAGTTTATAGTCAAGTCTACAGTCCAGTATTTTGACTTTATGTGAACTAGTCTATAGCCTGGTGTAAATTCTGATCTATATTCTAGCCTATAGTATAGTCTATAGTGCAGCATATTATCAAGTCTATAGTGTAGTCTATACCCCAGTATGTAGTCTAGTATGTTGTCTAGTCTGTAGTCTAGTATATATAAAGTCTAATTTATATTCAAGTTTATAGTCTAATTTATATTCCAGTTTATAGTGTATGTAGTCTGTAGTATAGTCTGTAGTCTAGTCTGTAGTCTAGTCTGTAGTCTAGTCTATAGTCTAGTCTATAGACTAGTCTTTAGTCTTGTTTTAAGTCTAGTATATAGTGTAGGTTATAGTATATTCTACAGTCTAGTCTATAGTCAAGTCTGTAGTCTAGTCTAAAGTCTAGTCTGTAGTCTAGTCTATATTCAAGTCTGTAGTATAGTCTATTGTCTAGGCTGTTGTCTAGCCTGTTGTCTAGTCTGTAGTCTACTCTATTGTCTAGTTTATAGTCTAGTTTATAGTCTAGTCTGTAATCTAGGCTATAGACTAGACTATAGACTGTACTACAGCCTAGATTATAGACTAGACTATATACTAGACTATAGACTAGACTATAGACTAGACTATATACTAGACTATAGACTAGACTATATACTAGACTATAGACTAGACTATAGACTAGACTATAGACTAGACTAGACAACAGCGTAGACTATAGACTAGACTACCGCCTAGACTATAGAATAGACTATAAAATAGATTATAGACTAGACTATAGGCTGTAGTCAATTCTATAGTCTAGGCTGTAGTCTAGGCTGTAGTCTATTCTATAGTCTAGTATATATTCTAGTCGGTAGTCTAGTATATAGTCTAGTCTGTGGTCTAGTCTATAGGCTAGGATGAAGTCTAGTCTATAATAATAGTATATAGTCTAGGCTGTAGTATGGTCTGTAGTCTAGTATATAGTCTAGGCTATAGTCTAGGCTGTAGTCTAGTCTATATTCTAGTCCGTAGACTTGTCTGTAGTCTGGCCGATTGTCTAGTCTGTAGTCTAGTCTATAGTTTAGTCTGTAGTCTAGTCGATAGTGTAATCTGTAGTCGAGTCTATAGTCTAGGCTATAATGTAGTCTGTAGCCTATTATATAGTTTAGTCTATATTCTAGTTTGTAGTCTAGTCTGTAGTCTAGTCTGTAGTGTAGTATATAACCCAGTCTGTAGTGCTGCATATAGTCTAGTCTATAGTCTGGTGTAGTCTATAGTATAGTCTGTGGTCTAGTATATAGCCTTGTCTGTAGTCTAGTCTTTAGTCTATTATATGGTGTAGTCTATAGTCTATGCTATAGTCTAGTCCTTAGTCTATGCTTTAGTCTAGTCCTTAGTCTAGTCTGTAGTCTAGTCTGTAGTCTAGTCTATAAGCTAGTCTGTAGTCTAGTCTAGGCTGTAGTCTTGTCTATAGTCTAGGCTGTAGTCTGTAGTCTATTCTATAGTCTAGGCTTTATTCTAGTCTGTAGTCTAGTCTATAGTTTAGTATATAGTCTAGTGTGTAGTCTAGTCTATAGTCTAGTCTATAAACATGTCTACAGCCTAGTATTTAGGCTAGTCTATAGTATAGTCTATAGTTTAGTATATAATCTTATCTGTAGTCTAGTCTATAGCCTAGTGTATAGTCCAGTCCATAGTTAAGTCTGTAGTCAAGTCTATAATCTAGTCTATAGTCTATGATATTATAATGTACTCTGTTGTCTAGTCTATAATCTAGTCTGTCTAAAGTCTAGGCTGCAGTCTATAGGGTACTCTGTTCTATAGTTTAGGTTGTAGTCTAGTCTGTAGTCTAGGCTGCAGTTTAGTCTGTAGAGTAGTCTATAATCTCGTATATAGTGTAGTCTAGTCTGTAATCCGGTCGGTAGAGTAGTCTATAATCTAGTCTGTAGTTTAGTCTATAAGTGTAGTCGGTAGTCTAGTCTATAGTTTTGTCTGACTGGTCTGTAGTCTCGTCTATAGTCTAGTCTATAGTGTTGATAGATCATTAGTTTTTGTCCTTGTAGTGTAAAATTTATTACATTAAAACTTACCATCATATTCAGGAAAATAATCTACCAAATGCGAATACATAATTTTTTCTTCTAACAAGTCTTTCTTATTTAAGAAAAGAATTACTGATGAATTCTGGAACCAGGGATACGTAATGATAGTTCTAAATAAAGCTTTTGATTCTTCCATACGATTCTAAAAAAAGATATTTTTTTTAATAATAAAAAGAAAGAATATGAAAAAGATAAAACTTTACCTCATTATCAGATTCGAATAAGATTTGATCATATTCCGATAGGGCCACTAAAAATATGATTGATGTTACATTTTCAAAACAATGAATCCATTTTCTTCTTTCGGAACGCTGGCCACCGACATCTACCATTCTATAGTTTACATGTAAAAGTTTAATGAAAATTTGATTAATATTTATTTGAAAAATTAGAAAAAAATACATTACAAGTACAAATGCTACAAACAATAATAGAATGCTTAAAGAAATTAAAGCAATATTTTACTTAATAAAATTAAATTAGTATAAGGCATACATTTAGACATTATACAATTGATGATACATTTTCATCAAACTGGCTCTAGCGATAGTATTCTATCAGGAAGTTTAGGTTTGTTTGTATTATATAGATTTGATACCTAAATACAATGCCATCCAAATCGAATGGGTATTCCAATATACCAGTGGTTGGTACACGAGCACGTAGAATATCTTGCTCAGTTGGTAAAAAGTCAGGTTTTTCAATACGATCAAGATCGCTTAAATAACTATAATTAATTAAAATTATAAATATTATAACAAAACTGTTACTAAGAAAATTTGTCAAATTAAACTTTATTTTTGCGTAAAGGTAAGTCAGTGTCCTATTTCATTGATTTCGCCCAAGTAACGAAAAATAGAACCTCTCAAAAACTCACATTTTGAAAAACTTGCTAAATTTTACGTCATTTAATCTTAATATTTAGCAAACACTAAATGTTTTTTTTTATAAAAATGCTATTTATGAACCTTTGTGATAGTCTTAAATGTCATCTTGAAAATTGCTTTCATATAAAGAGAGATATTTCTTAAATAAACAACGTATACCTAGAGACTTAATTTGTATTTGTTGTCAACAATTTCATGCAAATGATAACAAGATAAAAGTTTAAGAAAAGTATATAAATAAAAAAAAACATCACCGATCACCAAAACAAAAAAAACATTTGTTAAACAACATGCACAATTAAAAGAAATATGTATTAGAAATATACATAAAGTTGTTAGTTTAAAGAATATAGTATTAAGAAGTAACATGCAAAAAACGTTTGAACACAAAGGGCACGTAAAATAAATACCTAAATCGTATTTCTTCTAAATCAAAAGGATATTCAATAATCCCCGTTGTCGGTACACGAACACGTAAAATATCCTGTACACTTGGTAAATAATCAGGTTGGGCCACACGATCAAGATCCATTAGGTAACTAAAGTAGTAGAAGATTTGTTTTTTTAAATAACATTATATATATTTAGGATTGGTTATAATGCTAAGATAGAAGAAAACGGTCCTCCAGTCAAAGATTCCATACGTTATTATTGTTAATTATAAATGGTTTTATTTTTTAAATTAGTTTTATATTTAAACATTTGAACTTACTATTTAGCTGAATCTGTTAATTGATATTCTCTTCGTCGATCGTAACATTCTTGTATGCCAGTATCGGCCCACAGCGTTTTTATGGCTGACAAATATGGATCTTCAAATGAAGTAACTGTTTCATAATCAATGCTCATAACAAGTTCAGCAAGTTCCTGAAGAAGTGTATTCCATTAAATAAAATTTTTAAAGGATTTAAAACATTTGAACACCATTTCCAATTGAATTTCAAAAGTTTCTTTTTTAGACAATAGGCAATACTATAATTTACTCTATAATCTAGACTAAAGTAAACACCATAATCTCGTCTACCATAATCTAGTCTAAACGTCTAGTATAGTCCTAAGTCTAGTACTATAGACTAGACTATAGTCTAGTCTATAGTCTAGTCTATAGTCTAGTCTATAGTCTAGTCTAGTCTATAGTCTAGTCTATAGTCTAGTCTATAGTCTAGTCTATAGTCTAGTCTATAGTCTAGTCTATAGTCTAGTCTATAGTCTAGTCTATAGTCTAGTCTATAGTCTAGTCTATAGTCTAGTCTATAGTCTAGTCTATAGTCTAGTCTATAGTCTAGTCTATAGTCTAGTCTATAGTCTAGTCTATAGTCTAGTCTATAGTCTAGTCTATAGTCTAGTCTATAGTCTAGTCTATAGTCTAGTCTATAGTCTAGTCTATAGTCTAGTCTATAATCTAGTCTATAGTATAGTCTATAGTCTAGTCTATAGTCTAGTCTATAGTCTAGTCTATAGTCTAGTCTATAGTCTAGTCTATAGTCTAGTCTATAGTCTAGTCTATAGTCTAGTCTATAGTCTAGTCTATAGTCTAGTCTATAATCTACTCTATAGTCTAGTCTATAGTCTAGTCTATAGTCTAGTCTATAGTCTAGTCTATAGTCTAGTCTATAGTCTAGTCTAGTCTATAGTCTAGTCTATAGTCTAGTCTATAGTCTAGTCTAGTCTATAATCTAGTCTAGTCTATAGTCTAGTCTAGTCTATAGTCTAGTCTATAGTCTAGTCTATAGTCTAGTCTAGTCTAGTCTATAGTCTAGTCTAGTCTAGTCTATAGTCTAGTCTAGTTTTAGTCTAGTCTAGTCTATAGTCTAGTCTATAGTCTAGTCTATAGTCTAGTCTATAGTCTAGTCTATAGTCTAGTCTATAGTCTAGTCTATAGTCTAGTCTATAGTCTAGTCTATAGTCTAGTCTATAGTCTAGTCTATAGTCTAGTCTATAGTCTAGTCTATAGTCTAGTCTATAGTCTAGTCTATAGTCTAGTCTATAGTCTAGTCTATATTCTAGTATCTAGTCTAGTCTATAGTCTAGTCTATAGTCTAGTCTATATCTATAGTTAGTCTATAGTCTAATCTATAGTCTAGTCTATAGTCTAGTCTATAGTCTAGTCTATAGTCTAGTCTATAGTCTAGTCTAGTCTATAGTCTAGTCTATAGTCTAGTCTATAGTCTAGTCTATAGTCTAGTCTAGTCTATAGTCTAGTCTATAGTCTAGTCTATAGTCTAGTCTATAGTCTAGGTGTAGTGTATATCCATGGTATATTCTATATTACTAGTCTATAGTCTGGTCTATTGTCTAGTCTTTATTCTAGTCTATAGTCTAGACTATAGTCTACGAATCGGAAATTTTGGAAATGCTATTAGAAACTTATAAAATACAATTATAAAGAAATTGCAATTGGATATGATGTATGTATTAGTATTTTTACTTACCGCATGATCAGCTGCGCCATATGAAATTCTTAACATATCCATGGCTTTTATCATGGACTGCATAGCCATGAATATATTTTGAAACACTAATTTAATATAACCACGTTTGTCATCATCTGAGTAACCGCTGCCGTGAATAATACGCATCTGTTTAATAAATGTGGATTTGCCGGATTCACCAGTACCTAAGATAATAAAACAAAAAAATTTACAACATGTTTTAAAATTATTCAGTTAATATTGATGTGGGGAGTGTTTATTTACCCAGTAGTAATAATTTCAACTCCCTTCGCGCATCTCTCTTATCACGACGTAATTGTCGCTCGATTTCTTGATTGATACGCTTCTGTTCCTTGGCCTCTTCTGATAAACAGCACTCCATGCTAACTAGATATAAAGCTGCTAACGCTGCTTAAACGCCACACGTTGAATGAATTTTATTCAAAAATATTGGAAAAATAAAATTACTAGACAACAACTGAAGCAGGAAACAAAGTCAAATGATGTCAATGATTTCCCGCCTTTTGCTACTACTTGGATGGTGGAAAAATAAATGTGGTTTATTGGTAGTGACAATAGTCGAAGTAAGAAGTTTTAGAAATAGTCTTTAGAATTTTATTTATAGAAAACTGCTTTAAATATATATTTATTGAGGGCTGGTTATCGTTTTTATTGTAAGTTAGTTTTTATATTTTCATTTCCTTCTTTGCTGGAGTGGGCTTTCGTATTCAGTGTTTTTCTTTTGCCTCGTTTTAATTTTTTTATCCTGGTTGTAAAAAAATTCTTCTTTTAGTTGTTATATGCATATGTTGTTGTTGCCGTTTTTTTGTATATCCTGCTGTTATTGGTGTTTGCTAATTGTTAGGTTTTATATTTTCTAATATTGTTTTCTGTTTTATTGATATCGTCGACGTTGTCGTAGATCTTATCTTAGAGACTATAATAATCTATTAGATGGAAATGATCATAAATGCCACAAAGTTTTTTGGTTTAAATTTTTTGTTTGTTTTGAATTCAATTATAGACAAACCATTCGAAACGCTACACACTCACTACACACCCAGGCTGCAGAGTTCCTTAATGTTTATGTAATTGATGTATGAGATGATTTATAGAGTTTTATGGTACAAAAAAACGTCACTGTCAAATATTTCCTTTTTTAATTTTGAATTGGCTCCTGAAAATTTAAAAAAAGTAGATGAATAAGAATTATATGATATTATGTTTATATATTTAGAGATTAAATATGGGATGTGGACTTTTCTTAGTATAATTACATAGCCCGCCAAATTTTTAACACAGAGGCCAAAGCCTACATTTTGAAAGGATTGCGGTAAGTATTGTTTTATCTATAAAGAATTTAGAAAACTAAATTTTATACTACAGTCTATGCTGTAGATTACACTAGTCTATAGTCAAAAATATAGTATATTCTATAGTCAAGGCTATAGTCTAGTCTGTACCCAATACTAAAGTATTGTCTTAATTCAATGCTATAATCTAATATATAGTCAAGTAAAGTATATAGTTAAGACTAAAATCTAGTCTAGTCTATAGTCTAGTCTATAGTCTAGTCTAGTCTATAGTCTAGTCTATAGTCTAGTCTATAGTCTAGTATATAGTCTAGTCTATTAGTCTAGTCTATAGTCTAGTCTATAGTCTAGTCTATAGTCTAGTCTATAGTCTAGTCTATAGTCTAGTCTATAGTCTAGTCTATAGTCTAGTCTATAGTCTAGTCTATAGTTTAGTCTATAGTCTAGTCTATAGTCTAGTCTATAGTCTAGTCTATAGTCTAGTCTATAGTCTAGTCTATAGTCTAGTCTATAGTCTAGTCTATAGTCTAGTCTATAGTCTAGCCTATAGTCTATAGACTAGTCTATAGTCTAGTCTATAGTCTAGTCTATAGTCTAGTCTCTAGTCTAGTCTATAGTCTAGTCTATAGTCTAGTCTATAGTCTAGTCTATAGTCTAGTCTATAGTCTAGTCTATAGTCTAGTCTATAGTCTAGTCTATATCTAATCTATAGTCAAGTCTATAGTCTAATCTATAGTCTAGTCTGTAGTCTAGTCTATAGTCTAGTCTATAGTCTAGTCTATAGTCTAGTCTATAGTCTAGTCTATAGACTAGTCTATAGTCTAGTCTATAGTCTAGTCTATAGTCTAGTCTATAGTCTGGTCTATAGTCTAGTCTATAGTCTAGTCTATAGTCTAGTCTATAGTCTGGTCTATAGTCTAGTCTATAGTCTAGTCTATAGTCTGGTCTATAGTCTAGTCTATAGTCTAGTCTATAGTCTAGTCTATAGTCTAGTCTATAGTCTAGTCTATAGTCTAGTCTATAGTCTAGTCTATAGTCTAGTCTATAGTCTAGTCTATAGTCTAGTCTATAGTCTAGTCTATAGTCTAGTCTATAGTCTAGTCTATAGTCTAGTCTATAGTCTAGTCTATAGTCTAGTCTACTATGGTCTAGTCTATAGTCTAGTCTTAGTCTAGTCTATAGTCTAGTCTATAGTCTAGTCTATAGTCTAGTCTATAGTCTAGTCTATAGTCTAGTCTATAGTCTAGTCTATAGTCTAGTCTATAGTCTAGTCTATAGTCTAGTCTATAGTCTAGTCTATAGTCTAGTCTATAGTCTAGTCTATAGTCTAGTCTATAGTCTAGTCTATAGTCTAGTCTATAGTCTAGTCTATAGTCTAGTCTATAGTCTAGTCTATAGTCTAGTCTATAGTCTAGTCTATAGTATAGTCTACTATGGTCTAGTCTATAGTCTAGTCTATAGTCTAGTCTATAGTCTCGTCTATAGTCTAGTCTATAGTCTCGTCTATAGTCTAGTCTAGTCTATAGTCTAGTCTATTGTCTAGTCTATAGTCTAGTCTATAGTCTAGTCTATAGTCTAGTCCACAGTCTAGTCTATAGTCTAGTCTATAGTCTAGTCTATAGTCTAGTCTATATTCTAGTCTATATTCTAGTCTATAGCCTAGTCTATAGCCTAGTCTATAGTCTAGTCTATAGACTAGTCTATAGTCTAGTCTATAGTCTAGTCTATAGTCTAGTCTATAGTCTAGTCTATAGTCTAGTCTATAGTCTAGTCTAGTCTAGTCTAGTCTAGTCTATAGTCTAGTCTATAGTCTAGTGTATAGTCTAGTCTATAGTCTAGTCTATAGTCTTGCCTATAGTCTAGTCTATAGTCTTGCCTATAGTCTAGTCTATAGTCTTGCCTATAGTCTAGTCTATAGTCTTGCCTATAGTCTAGTCTATAGTATATAGTCTAGTCTATAGTCTAGTCTATAGTCTAGTCTATAGTCTAGTCTATAGTCTAGTCTATAGTCTAGTCTATAGTCTAGTCTATAGTCTAGTCTATAGTCTAGTCTATAGTCTAGTCTATAGTCTAGCCTATAGTCTAGTCTATAGTCTAGTCCATAGTCTAGTCTATAGTCTAGTCTATAGTCTAGTCTATAGTCTAGTCTATAGTCTAGTCTATAGTCTAGTCTATAGTCTAGTCTATAGTCTAGTCTATAGTCTAGTCTATAGTCTAGTCTATAGTCTAGTCTATAGTCTAGTCTATAGTCTAGTCTATAGTCTAGTCTATAGTCTAGTCTCTAGTCTATTCTATAGTCTAGTCTATGGTTTAGTTTGTATTCTAGTTTATAGTCTAGTCTATGGTCTAGTTTATATTCAAGTCTAAAGCCTATAATCTAGCCAATAGTCTAGTATATAGTTTAGTCAATAGCGTATAAATAATCTGGCTTAAATTTAGTCTATAGTTTAGTCAATAGCCTAGTCTATATTCTAGTCTATAGTCTAATTTATATTCTAGTCTATAGTCTAATCTATAGTTGTTATATATTCTAGTCTATAGTCTAGTATATAGTCTAATCGTTAGTCTGGTCTTTAGTTTAATAACAGCCCTTTGACTTTTTTCAAATTTTGTTGGCCTGTGTTATCTTTAATCTGCAATTTATTATGAAAAGGAAATTAAAATTTTATTTGTGATTGCATCTTCAACATATTTCTATATATATTTTAATTTTGTTTTATAAATCAATGATAAATTATTATAAATACAAAGATCTTTGTCGCTAAACCCCGCTCTAATACAGGTTACTTAGAAATTAAATTTAAACATTTATCTGTGAATGGCTTAGACTTAACGCTTGAATAACAAAACTTATTTTGTCATAAATATTTTCTCTCCATATACCATAATTCAATAATTAAATTAAGGAAATACGTAGTTTTTCTAAATCGCCAGCTTAGCAAACTACCAAAACTAGTGTGGAGAAAGAAAATCTTAGAAAAAAAGAAAAATAATTATGAATTTCTATTTCCTTGGGAATTTTAAATATTGATTGTTTAACGAATATTCGTTAAAACGAAAAATAAAACGTTATGCGTAGTTTTCAAAATAAGCCAAAGAATTGTCCAGATTATTCCAAAAAGCAAACTATTGATTTTTGTTTAAATATTCCAAACGATTTAAATAGATTTTAAAATGTAAAGTGATTTTCCCATGAAAACGTAAAAGTAAAATTCTTTAAATTTTAATTATAAATAAATTTTTCTTATAAAGTTAAAAATTTTATTTGACACAACTATTTGTTATGAATGTTTTATAAAAAAAAGTTAAAAGAATATTAAAATAAGTTAAAATTTTTATAAATAGTTTAAATCCAATTTATTATATTATTATTATAACACTTCTTTAAATTGATTTGTTTCAATTTTAGTTTGTAAAACAATAACAAAGTAATATTTTATTTTGATAATATTTTTAACAAAATTCACCTTTTTGTATAATTTTTGTTTTTGTTAAATATTTTTTGAAAAAATTCTCTCTATTTTATTTGAATAAAAAATAAATCACGACCACCGCTATTCATATCCGTACAACGATATTGACTGATGACTATTGTAAAACTATTCCCGTGTTTGGTAGTAAATGTCTTTAGACTATTCCTATTCTTCCAATAAATTTTTAAATAGACCTCCGCAATATAAAACACAAAACTGAAAAATTTCCAAACAATCTGTTAATATATACAACTATATTTCTCTTAGTCATAGTTTACCGATTTTGGTTTATCACTTTCTTCGTTCTTTCTGCCCTAAGGTTGTAGTACTATTATATTCCAGCTAAGACAACAAAGTACGAATCTAAGGCTTCTCAATTGTATCATTTTGTACTACTGTATTTCTCGACCATTTCACCCGCCTCCTCCTCCTTCTTCTCCTACCCTTGAACGGTTGAACAGTTTTCTGTAGTTGTTTTTTTATGGTCATAATATTTATTTATTGGAAATTATACTATACTACAACTTTTACTACACAGTGTCAAGTGTGACGACATTAGATATTGTACGATAATCCAATTGTCTTTAAACTTCATAGTAGTGGGTAGACCTCGATGGTAAAAATTTTACACTCACACCAAAAAGTAGTTTGTATTTCTAGTAAAAAGGGAAGTGTGCGAATATGAATAGATATGGATTTAGCTATAATGGAATTAGATTAATTTTCCTCGGCAAAGAAGAGGACGAGGAGGTCAAATATTAAGCATTAGAAAGATTTTCATTGTGTCAGCAAACTTTTAGTTTTCCACACTAATTGATAATAGTTTTAAAATATGAAACTAATTCATAAAAATATGAAACAAATGCTCTATATGGATGGAACCTTTCGACACTTATTACTACGAGATTACGCCTAATACGTATGATAAATTGTACTATGTATCGACATAAATATCATCAAGGGCCACATTCTAACATTTAAAAATGATAGATATTTCGAATAAATTCTTTTAAATCAGAAAACCTTATCATTTGAAATAGAAATAAATAAATTCTTAATAATAATTTGTTCTTTTCCAGGATATAAGTAGATGACGGGACAAATGAGGAGTATCCATTGACACTTAAACCATCTAGCATATTGTTATTATTCCATGGTTCCTGGATAAGTGCTACATCCATCTTTGAATCGATGAATAAAGTTTGCCATTACGCAAAAGCTGCCCCACAATAATGCAGGTTGGAATCCAAAATATTGACTATTATGTCTATTGACCATAATGTCAGCATGTATTAACTCAAGCTTTGCCTCTGGATTAATATCGTTACATTTGTCAATATTATGTTTTAAGAACTCCAAAAACGCGCCAGACACCACCATTTTGGAAGACT